GGAAGAGCTTCTCGCCGTTAGGAGGGCTTACATGGCTCGTTACAAGCGGTCCCTCGAGGAAGACGTGGCCGCTCATACCTCGGGCGACATCCGAAGGGCAAGCAATCAAAACTCTATTAATCTCTAAATCATTACTTTGCTCTCTCTTTAACTGTTAATCGGAAAGATTCGGCCTGTTGCAGATTCTGGTGTCTTTGGTGACGGCTTTTAGGTATGAAGGGGATGAGATAAACTTGAGGGTGGCGAATTCCGAGGCCGAGATTCTGCGAGTTGCGGTAAAGGAGGGGGTGTATAGCCATGACGAAGTTCTTCGTGTTCTGAGTACTCGAAGCAAGTCTCAGCTCATGGCTACTTTCAACTGTTATAGAGATGGAAATAATGGCATTTCCATCACTAAGGTAAGCATATAATATATCTCTTCTTATAATCCTTCGACCGTTACGAGTCCGAAATATTTCAATTTCAATTTTTGGTATTTCTCTAGGAGCTGTTAAGCGATTCGGGCAACGAACTTGCGATGGTACTGCATACGACCATCCGATGTCTTAACGATCCAACAAAGTATTTTGAGAAGGTAAGTAACCGTAAGCGTAAATAGATTCATTTCGCTTGGACCGGGAAAAAAGATTGTTTACGTTTTTTTGTTATTTCGGACGTTTAGGTTGTGAGAGAGGCGCTGAAGAGGTACGGGACGGATGAGGACGGGCTGACCCGCGTGATCGTGACGAGGGCCGAGAAGGATTTGATGGGTATAAAGGAGCGTTACTACAAGAAGAACAACATCTCGCTCGATCATGCTGTCGCTAAGGAAATTTCGGGCGACTACAAGGCTTTTCTCCTCGCTCTCATGGGCTATCTCGAGTGAACGCTCCTCTCTCTCTCTCGGGTTTTCGTTGTTATGGCGAGAACTTTGAATGTTTCCCGTGTTGCCTGCCATCGACTAGGCTCGAAAATGCTATGTTTTCTCTTTGTTAGTTTTCGATATATTCCGGAATGTAGTTCAGTTTGATATGATGTTTGGACCGTTTATCAATCCGAAAAATAATGATCCTCCGTTCTTGATACGTGAATTTTGTTCATCGTTCCCATTATTGAAACACAAACCGCTACCGTTCATGGTGTTCATCTCCGCCCTCTCGACCTCGCCTTTCTCTCTTTTCTCGCCTCTGCCCCTCGCCCTCATCGGCTGGACAACCAAATATTCGGTCTACTCGTGGGTACCCGAAGGGTACGGACCCGAAACCCGATGATTCGAATTTAGAGTTAAGTAACCCAAAAAATCGGATTCCTGACCCGTGCTCAACCCTAGTTATCCGAGAAGAATCCTCACGGGAATAATGTGAACGATTGCCATGAGAATGATCTTAAAGCCACTGGACTGGTTCGTCTTAACACATGCATACACCTTGAATTCTTGGCAACAAACAAAAGTTCAAAAAAAAAAACCCCACAAACAAAGCAATAAAACGATTGTATAATTGCATATTATCGAACCTTTTACATTGTTCAAGTAAACAAGATGAGGACAAGCTTCAAAATTCCACATCCTGATTATAAGTTCAGAATTCTAAGCAAAATCAAACTATATTCAGAGATTAAGATTTAAAAGAAAGAACTCGGCTTTTGCTCTCAGATGGAGTCTGTACCTACTAGTAAGGGTTGGCTAAAACTCGCAGGAGAAGCCATTGAAGCTGTACGCTCCAAGCAAGGTTGGAGCCGGTTGTATGCGTTGGCTGCATCGAGGTAATGCACTTCCATCGCACCATTCTCCTCGTCCAGCTCGTCGATTTCAACCGCGGTCTGTACCATAAATAGACATGGAAACAGCCAAATGAGTAGCCTTTAGACCACAAGTCAAGAACCCGACCCAGCACCGATTATTTCTCGTCCATTCAATTTTCTTGGAAAACTCAATTCATTGGTAAAACCCATGATTTGAACATGGTGAGTACCTGTATCGGGAAATGCTTAAACGATGGGAGAAAACGGATCTTGCAGTACTCATTGAACCCTATTGTGATTAAAATGAGTGGTATAGTAGCAATTGATGCAGATGGCTTCGACTTCAGCCCAAACAGACCGACCATAGTGACTTGCATAAGAATGATAGAGACGAAGATAGAGTGATGGATAAATGGCCAGAACCGACCGCAAGTGTCATAAGTGATAGCGTACACATCTTCCATCTGAAAGTTGATAGTGAAATGGAGTTTACTACCAAATAGATGAAGATGATCACCATCTACGAAAGGGTCTAGAGTCTGTACCTGGTTGATGTAGACGATATATCCGAGGTAGAAGTAGCCAACCAAGAACGGAAGTAACAACGGGGCAACCACTGCATATACCATACCGATCAGTATCGAAAAGGCAACTGTGGGAATGACCCGGAAATATGGGAAGGAAAAGAGATAAGGGGTTCTCTCCTTTCCCCTTGCATATGTGTTGGATCTTATAAAATCCCATGTTAACAACCCGAACTGAAGAGTCTCCAAAGAAAACCCGGACAGCCCATCAGTCAATATGTATGTCATGAAAAAATCTGCCTAAAATACATGAACACAGTAAGTGTTATTTTTTGGCTCACTAAATAATCTTGTTAACTGATTTAGCATTATATCAAACCGGTTGCTCAGTGTATATAGGCTCACCTGAGCTGAAACAGCGGCAGCGAGATGACTAGGAATGTCCCGAGGATGAGAGAGAGATTCCCCAATTTCATCGAGTAATGAACCAGAGATGAGACTCAAGAAGAAAACATTTCCCATAAGGAAATAGAATACCATATTGCAAGCCTTTATCTCTTCTCTGCTCTTTGAAATAGAACCACCAATGTAGGCCATCCCAAGCATAGCATAAGGAACGATATACATGAAACCTTTTAATATAGCGCTTGGGAGGTAACCTGTCACGATTGAGCTGAGCCCTGGTCTGTTGCAAATTGCAAGTTAGCTTATTAGTAAAAATGAAGAAAATGCATCAACAGTCAAACAAATCATCTGCTAATGAAAAGGAAAGAAGCACATGTGAAATAGATTTAGAATTTTCAGTCAGCGACTGATAACCATCTCAAACAACCAACAAATATCGCCGAATCCATTATGGTAAACCGCATTCATCCTTAGTCAAAACAGAGGAAGACTTGTATTGAAAATCTCACGATTGAAATTGCTAAATATGCACTTGGGTGTGTTTGTTTGCATCTAGCATAAGAGCTAAGTAAAAAATGTTTGTGACATTGACATAAATACTGAAGTCTATGAGTATTGTATATGCGTCAATATGGTCAAACTGGTGCTTATAACCATTTCTCACTGACACAGGAGGTCATTTCATTTGTGGACATTCTCTTATTAAATTGTAAAGAAAGAGAACATGTATTTAGATGGTACTCACATGAATTCAATAGCCATGGCTGGGGGAAACCATTTCTTAAGCTTCTCATACTTTGCGATTCCCTGGACAGCTGTGACTGGAATGGCAAAGAAAATTATAAGAAGTGCTGCTGCAAGGACGACTCCAACTTTGTTCAGAGGTAAGATCTTTTGTGGAATAGCCAGATTTCTCCACGATACATCACTGGGTTCAGGAGCCATTTCAGTGATCAGTTCTAGTGGATTTGAGTGCTGCTGTGTTTGGGCAGCAAGTGCAGCACCCCTCCGAGATTTGAAAGAGACAAATGCGACTGGTAATTCCTTCACATGAATTTGCACAGAAGGAAAACAGCTTTTAGTAATAATTATACAATTCCCTGACATCTAATGAGACAAAAACCCAAAAAAACTGTGTGAAATGTATTATGTATTTCCTGATATTATCCCAAAATCATGTATCCTCTTGTTATATTTATGTTTTGAGAGCTCTGTTAGAATGTTTATTGTCGTGGTATAATTAATCTTCAGAATGCATGTGAACCCAATGACCTTCAGTTCACAATCTTCTAGAACCAGATGAAACTGATGAGCAACATAAAGAAAATCTTGCATTTTGACATATCCATGAAATAACAGTTCACAAACACATCAATAGTTGAATTTTGTTACCCGCTAAACATGGACCTCAAGAAAGTACCTTCTCTTTGAGCATAATTTCGCTTTGTAGGTGGCAAATCTTGTGGGAAATTTCCCGAAGCTTTTCATCATAGATGGATACTTGCTTCTGATTGTGTGCCGCACGTGAAAAGTTTCCATCCTTCTGCCTCATGTCTTCAATCTGTTTCTTAAGCTTCTTTTCCTTTCCCTATATATTAGAACACCTCCAAACTTAAGAGATAAATGCTAAAGCACAAAAAAAAAACAAGATTCTAGGATAGACAAAGCCACTGGACCTGGAGAAAACATGCTGCCATAATGAATATGCAAAGACAAATCTACGTTGAGAAAGATGACATCGTGTTGTCAAACCTTACCAAAAGATATTCAAGATCTTTCCCGTTATATAACATTTGATACGAATGATAACTGAAAGGATGATGTTTAGAGAAGAAGTGATCAACACCGCACCCACGAGTCTTGTGTTCATTGCACAGGGGAATTTGCCGGACAAGAACGGTGAAATGGTCAGCACGATGCCTAAGCTCCCGCATCTGTTGAAGCCTTTTCAAAAGAATATCCTTATACTCCTAGATGGCATGATCCAATAAACAAACCAAACTTATCAACTTTTCTAGATTGCAAAATCAAGGTATACACAGATGAATGGTCAGAAATAACAAAAGATTGAATAAAAGTATCTAAAGCGCTATGTTATAAACTATAAAATCAACAACTGAAAGACCGTCAGACAGAGTAACAGTTACCTTGTACAGCAAGTACAATGCATAGAACGATATCAGCCACAAGCACGAGAAATGCACCCACAATCTAGGAAATTGAAAGAAGAAGATAACCCGTAAGCAAACCGAAGACAGTAAAGCAAACAATAAGAACTACTTGCACAGTCTGCAGTCGAAAAAACTAACTACATAAGAGCGGATATAAAATGAACAAAAATACCAATTACTATCCAAAATTTTTTACCAAGCAAAAAGATAAGCAGGACCTGGCGATAACTAGGACGCTTTCAAATTCCAAAGATATCAGTGGTGATACTAATGTATTTCACCATATAGAGAAACTCCTCATGGACAAGTTATATCATTATGTCATGTTAATGATAAGTAAAGTTTACCGCATTCGATTTCCACGAAAGAGGTAAAAGGAGAGATATTTTATATAAAAGCAGCGAACAATACGCTTGCGATCGTGCTATTTAGGACATGACACAATGTGGAAGCCTTACTTGTTAGAACCGCGCCTGACATTCGATATAGTAAACGAATCCATAGAATAGTAGCTCCTCGTCGATACATCTGATTCATTGTAATAATCAACCGGAAGAAGTAGTGATACTCCAAGGAAAGAGCACAAGAGGAAGAATCTGATGCTGCAAAATGCGAAGGTAAAGAAACATTTTTAAGAACAAGTTTTAAACATTAAATTCAACACTACAACAAATCTAAACACTTTGGACTTCTCCGATTCCCAAATATCGAAATCCCTCCTCACAAATCACAATCTTAAAAATCCCATTTCTAGAAATCTCGAAATCACGTCCACCGAATTCGAAATTTGCAACAGAGGTTTCCCCTTAATTCGTCTAAAATACCCCCAACCGCGAACAGAGTTCTCACCCGAACTTGAAGAGCCTGATGACGACTAGGGCATCGAGGCCATGGCGACGGAGGATCTCGTCCTCATGAACGCGGAAGGCGCGTGGAATCCACTCAACGGAGGGGAGGAAGCGAAAGAGGGAGAGAGAGGCGTGGAATTCCGGCGGAGGAGTCCGGTGGTCGGAGAGGCGGCGAGCGAAGTAGATGACGGAGTTGCGAGGCTGCTTCTTGAGGATGGAAAAGAGCCATAGGATCATGAAGGCGAGCGCTATGTTGATCGAAGCCGATGCGATAAGACTCTCGGGCGTCATTCTCTCTCTCTCGCTCAGGTGAATCAGAGACAACGGCGAAGAAGAAGACGAAGAAGCAGAGAGCGGCCGTGTAACGTGGCGTTCTGCATGCAGAGAAGGTACATGCTCAGCAAATTTTCTGTTTTTGGCCTTTTGCGGTTGTGAATGTTTTTTGGATAATTAAAAATAAAATAAATATTTAGACTTAGTCAAATTAAAAGAAATTTATTAATGTTTTTAAATTCCAGCACATGCAGGGATTTGAGCGGGAGTGCCCCTTACCAGAGTAATTTGTCTGAAATCCCAAAAGAAATAATTATCTAATTTGTAATAAAATTATTTTTATTCGTGGTATCCAATTAGATTATTGTTAATAGATAAACCAAACCAGGTAATTTAAATATAAATATTTAATTTTTTTAGAATATGAATATCAGAACCAATTGTTGCAGTTATTATCAGTGTCATTTTAGTGTACATGGATGGATAGAAGTGGGCTCGTTTGTTTATGTCAATAGTTTGAGGCAAATCTAAATTATTTTAAATTCAAAGGATTTAAATTCAATTATGGAAGAGTTTATTAATAAGAAAACAAAAAAGGAGCTCGAGCGTCGTCTTTAAGCTTCGTCGCCGTTAGGGTTTATCGGGCTGTTTCTCGCGTTTTGTCGCCGCCGTTGCCGGAGTTCTTCGTCTTCGCTCCTGAGCACTGTAAGCCTTCTAGCTCTCTTCTATCTATCTCTCTCTCTCTCTCTCTCAATATTTTCCTTTGCTCTCTCTCCTTTCGCGCCCGAGAACTCTGCATGGGGCTTCAATGGCGTACGTTTTAAGACCGAAATATTGAGTGGATTAGACTTCTCTCAGTGTCACGATTCTTAACTCCATACTTGATCGACGGAATTTTCTCCGGAGAAAAGTTGGAATCGAATTCTTTTCGAGCCAAAGGACCTTTAGCTGAACTAATCATGACACCAGATTGTGGGCATTACGACAACCTTAACAAACACCAAATCGTGACACGAAACTTTTGTGATGCTATCTTTTTTTTCCCAGAGTAATGAAAATGTGTTGCTTAATCTACGATTCTTAACTGTTTCGCGTAACACCGTGATCAGAAAAAGAAGACATCTTCTGGTCTCTGTCACGATGTTGCGCAGAAACGTTAGGTTAAGGAAAGAGTATCTCTACAGGAAAAACTTGGAAGGCAAAGAGCGTTTACTCTATGAGAAGAAGCGGAAGATCAGGGAAGCTCTGCAAGGTGAGATGAATTTCATCGTAATAAAAAACAAATGATGGGATTCTAATGTGGTTTATGGATTTGATGCTTTTTGTGTTATTTATAAGTATTCGGTTCATTTTTTGTGTTGTACAACAGAAGGAAAGCCAATTCCTACTGAGCTTCGAAATGAGGAGGCAACGCTTCGACAGGAGATAGATCTTGAAGATGAAAATACTGCCGGTACTTTCTGAGTTTCCCTGATTTTGTCAATGCTAGAATAAATCCCGGAGCTTTAGAGTTTTCCTTCAACATTTTTCTTAGTTAGTAAATTTTGGAGCAGAATTTTAGCTGGTGTGTATAGTGGATTAGTATGTTAACTTAGGAACTATAAAGTTCTTTAGCTCGGGCCTGCCTTTTTTTTTTCAAAATACGGTTACGATAGGATTGGTAGGATTGGCATATTCTGAGAAGCAGAGTTCTGTGATTGCATTAGTCGTACGTTGATGCTGCACGGACTATAAAGGGTGTGATAATATTGAATCAATCAACTCCATCTGATATTAGTTTCTGAAGTTATTTAAGAAGCCCATATTTGAACCATTCTTCGTTAGAGGAAGTTAAATGATGCACAACAGGGTTGCTTCATCATTTGTAGAATATGGCATGCACAGCTTCTTCTTTTTTTTGTCTTGGTGTCAATTTGGCTGAGGCGGAAGAGTTGTTCTTTTTTCAGATAGACATTCCATCTGCACTCTTTGATATGTTCTGCTTGTGTTGAACCCATGACTTATGTGTTGTCACTTTAAAAGTAACGTTCGTTTCATCATCTTCTTCAATGAGGATTATGAAAGGTTGTGGCAAAATGGCTAATGATTATTTTTTTCATCTTTCCTTCTGAAACATAGAACCGCGTACACATATTGATGATGAATATGCTAATGCTACGGAAAAAGATCCAAAGATTTTGTTGACAACATCTAGGAATCCAAGTGCTCCACTCACGCAATTCGTTAAGGTATGTGTAGCTTCATTGTCTGATATGTATTGTCTACTTGGTTTCTTTTGTTTTTTGTTTATTTCTGCTGGTGCTATGATTCCATTTATTTTGCTTGTTAAACCTCTGCTTGTTTGGAACTGTGATACAGGAATTGAAGTTTGTATTTCCCAATGCGCAGAGAATAAATCGTGGTGGCCAGGTTTGTATGCTGTTACAGCCACCATCTTTAGTCGTATGTGAGTTAGGTAAAGTGAATCAAGTTGAATCAAACTCAGTGTTTCGGCTGATAGTAAGTTAGAAACAATAAAACTGTCCATGGTAGAGTTGGGGTGACATTTAATTGGTTAAATTGCATCCATCTGTTTTTTCAATTTTGTTTCTAAACTTGTTTATTTCTTTCATTACTATTGAGGTACTTTATTATTTGTACCCCTTCTGAACTCATCGCTCGTTATCTCAGGTCATCTCTGAGATCATTGAAACGGCTCGGTCACATGATTTTACGGATGTTGTATTGGTTCATGAACACCGTGGTGTGCCTGATGGCCTTATCGTATCTCACCTTCCGTTTGGTCCAACTGCATACTTTGGATTGCTCAATGTGGTGGGTACTTTTGAACAATCTAGTTTATCACCTTTTGTTCTTTCAATTTCTGTAATTGCGTTTAATAGTGTTGATTCTGCATGTAGGTTACTAGACATGAAATTCAAGACAAGAAAGCTATTGGAAATATGCCAGAGCAATATCCTCATCTTGTATTCAACAACTTTACAACCAAGGTAGCGTTATACTTTTAGCCCCCTTGAATAATGCTATATAATATACTCCGAGTCAGTGTAGTCATTGCGGCAAAATGTTCAGTGTGTTCGGTATCGGTATTTCTGTTTCGTGTTCTGATTGAATTCATGTGCCTATTACTGTGTCTTGTAGTGGAAACATTTGCTGTTATATTTGCCTGTAGGCCTAAGAATTTGGTCAGAATTCGTTAGCCTAAGCATATTTCATTTGGGAATATTTTTATTTTCAGGTTGGAGAAAGAGTTTCAAACATCTTGAAGCACCTATTCCCAGTTCCAAAACCGGATGCAAGACGTATTGTTACGTTTGCTAATCAATCCGACTATGTTTCGTTCCGGTCAGTTTTTCTCCTAGCCCGTTTATCTTCAACCTGTGACAATTTATTTGTCTCCACTTATTCGATGTCTGTGTTTGATTTCTCTTCAACAACAACATATTGCAAAATCTTGTGGGGAAAAAAAACAGGAACCATGTATACGAAAAAGCAGGAGGCCCGAAATCAATTGAACTGAAAGAGATTGGACCTCGGTTCGAACTGAGGCTGTACCAGGTAATTCATTCATACACCATTTTCCATTTCTAGGGTGTCCTATAAGAATCTGAGTACTCAGGAAAAATTTTATGTCATATTTATAATTTTGGTGATGCAACAGATAAAGCTGGGAACTGTGGAACAGAACGAAGCTCAGACAGAATTTGTCATAAAGCCGTACATGAACACTTCCAAGAAACGCAAATATATTGGTGATTGATCCCAATGCTCTTCTCTCGTTTGTACTCTTTTCAATTTCGGTTGGGGTGTAAACTAAGTAACAGAGGGTCATTGTAAAAAGGGTGGTCATTGCGTTTGATTTTATTATCCGAACCCAATAGCAAATATTTTTTTTCATATAATTATGATACAATAATTATGCTCCACATCTAGAATTATGTCTGTCCTTCTGTTTCATCCCTTGATTTTACTCTCTACTTTCTTTTAAAAAGTTTAAAAATTCCAAAAAATTAATTTAAATAAATATAAATATACACATGCACGCATGCATACATATAGATATATATACACATATACATGTATACCCATATCTGAATTTAGTGAATCCAAGTGTTTAACTACTAGATAAATTTAGTGAATCCAAGTGTTTCGCCATTATTTTCTTTGTTCGAATTCTAGGATGAGTTAAAAAAAAAGCAACGATTACTACAACACAGATCATCACAAGAACAGGGGCGTTCATAAAAAACACCAATTAACGTAATTCCTCGTTTCAACAAGGGACAACATAGCTGAAAAGAGAGGCCTAGAAGTTTAAGATTAAGCCATGTACACCTACAGAGAGGATCATGTCTGAAAGAAAGAAAGAACACACACACACAGAATGAAGTCCAACACTAAGAACAAACACCACAAGTCACGAAATTAGCAAAGCACTTAACCCTAAGAGACGAATACACGTTTTCTAATCTCAGTCCTTGGTGGTTTTGTTGATGAGGGATTTGTGGATGTGAGGGATGACACCTCCTCCAGCAATAGTACCCTTGATGAGAGTGTCGAGCTCCTCATCTCCTCGGATGGCGAGCTGCAAATGCCTTGGGGTTATCCTCTTCACTTTCAAATCTTTGCTCGCGTTCCCAGCCAACTCCAGAACTTCTGCAGTTAGGTACTCGAGAATTGAGGCCATGTAAACTGCAGCGGTGGCACCGACTCTCCCGTGAGCAGAGGCTCTGGTCTTGAGTTGCCGGTGGATACGACCCACTGGGAACTGTTTAAGACAACATAAGAGTAACACATTGTAGGTCATGAGTTGCAGATGGATGCCCAAAATAACGGCAGGAAAAGAGGGGAAACAAAAATACTGCATTGACTAAGTAACAAGGCAACCAGCAACACATAAAAACCAAAACAGATTGTCAAAGTACCCATTCGTAACTTGGTTATGAAGAAGCTGCACTTGCATGAGAAAGGTCTACATAAAGCTAAAATGTTACAAACAGACATGATTCTATCATGGACAGAAAAAAAAAGAAATATATTTACACACCTCTTCTTTACAAGCAATTTCATTAGAGAACAGGTGGGAATCAACATTGGATGGTATCCAAATAAGCGAACCATTGATCTTGGACAATAAGGGTATACTTTCCCAAGCATGTCATGTACATAACTAGTGCTTTTACACAGTCGCAAAACATTGTGACATGAAAGAAGCATACGAAATGGCATATAAAACATTGGTTACATGTAAACAAACTGGTAACTCACTTTCCATCCACAAATATGATGGAAAAGAATAGGTGAAAACTATACAGCGTATCGCCATTTTTAGACAGTTATAACAACAACAAATTTCACATCTTGCCTGGTTACTTCTTCATGAAATTACATACGCATAGCATAAACTTTGCTCAGAATCTTAATTGCGCTTCTTATCAGAACCCATCCATTGGGCAAGTTCCTAAAACTCGAAAGCGCATCTAAACATAAAGCACTCCAGCCCAAAATCTCCAGAGTTTCTAGGGTTTGTGGGATTTACCTGAATACCGGCGCGAGCAGACCGAGAGATGGGTTTCTTCTTATCCTTATCTTTGTCCTTGTTTGCGGCCGTTGTCTTCGCAGCTACAAGCCCTTTCCCACCTTTCCCCGCCATATCTCCCAAACGGCGATTTCCTACTCCCGTACCCGAAGAGTGGAGAAAAAGCAAAAGGAAACCTCAGAAACAAAAAAGTCAAAAGCAGAACCGTACCAGATCTGCCTGAAAAAACTTCAAAATCAAACAAATCGAAGCGAAAAGGTACGATGAAAAACCAAAACTCCAGCGAGAATTGCAAGATTCGAGACGTAGCTCAAGGAACAGCCGGAAAAAGTCAAACAATCAAGTCTAAATCCCAGGAAACTAGAAACGAATCAACAGCGAATCTAGAAGACCCAGACGAGAGAGAGCGTGCGTACCCGAGACGAGATCGAGGAGAGCAAAGAGGAAAGAGACGAAATCGGAAATCTGTTAAATGACGGCTGTGAATAAGCTTTTGAAATGACAAATTGTTGGGCGGCTTTTTGAATATTTTGAAATCCCTGAAGGGGGGCTTTCGAAAAAAAAAATTCTGATTGGCGAAAACTCTCAAAATTTCTTGGTTTCAAAACTTTTTAATGATTTTACCATAGTGCCCTGGAGGTTTATCGTTAATTACGGATAAGGAAAAGCGGAGTCACAGCCGAGAGCCAGCCACGGGTGGCCTGCCGGCTGGTGGGGTGGTCGATATATTCACAATTTTTCTATTAAAAAAACGGGTAATCGCCAAAAAAACCCTATACTTTTTCCACATCAACGAAAAAACTATATACTTTTTTTATTACCAATTAAACCTTGTATTTGGTGTGATTAATTCATAAAACTCCGTACTTTTTAAAAATTCACCGAACATGGTATGAACACGATCAGGATATGAACACATCATCATTAAATTTTGTTTGAAATGATGATGTGGCATAATTATAATGATGTGTTCATGTTCGTGTTCATACCATGTCATTGTCACTTCATTATTTTTGCTTGAGTTGGCATTCGCGGGGATTTTCGGTGAATTTTTAAAAAGTACAGGGTTTTATGAATTAATCACACCAAGTACAGAATTTAATTGGTAATAAAAAAAAAGTACAGAATTTTTTCGTTGACCTGGTAAGAGTACAGTGTTTTGTTTTGCTATTACCCCTTTAAAAAAAAAGCAAAATCCTCGGTGGGAGATATTAATATTTTTCGAAATTAATGGAACGGATTCTGAGTCAGCCCAGGAGTGAAAGACAATCTTAATTAGAATTTTCGTAAAAACTCTTCATTAACAAATGAATATTAAAATTTCTTTCATAATATAAAGAACGTTATAAATTTTTAATAATAAAATTCTACAGTGATTGCAAAACTTAAAATTATCGGTTTATAATTGAACGATCAATAAAAAAATAACAAAAATGGATGGTCTTTGTGAAATTATGAATCATGTTGTTTGGTAAACAACTTGTTTGTATTGATCTAAAACTAAACAGAAATTTGAAGTAAAATATTTTTTTTTTCAAATATATCAAATTCTAGAGAAAATTCTATACAAATTTATTAAAATATTATAAAAAATATAGTTTTTTTTTGTCATAAAAGACAATTAACCTGATTTGATTATTTGGTATACACCTTTTTTTAAGTTTTTAAAATTTATGTATTTTTATAATTTTATAATAAATTGGTGTATTTATATAAAATTTTCCCTGAATAAATAAGGGTAAATATATAAATTATAAATAATCAAATTTTGTTGAATTCGAGTTTCAATTTTATTATTTTTATGTTTGATTACAAATAAATTATTTTTGGGTTTGTATTTTCCATTTTAAGATATAATTAAATTATTTTTATGTTGAATTTTTAAAATTTTATATTAAGTTTGACTATTTCTCTGATTCGATTTAGTTTTTATTTTAATTGATAAAAGAATTATTTTCTAAAAAATTCAATTTATTCTATTTTTTTTTGCTTTTTAATATATTTAAGTTTTTGTATTTTAAAAAATAACATAGATTTGGTTTTTATATTAAATGTAAAACATTTACGCCTAAATTTTATTAAAATTACGAAATTATCAATAAAAAATATTATAAAATATATTCATATTTATTAAAAATCTATTTTTTTTAAATTAATACAGATATTAGAATATTTGTATGACACTAATAATTTTACGGTACAAATGCTATTGTACGAAGATATTCGGATATACGCACGTTATCTAAAATTTTCGGATATTTAATTCCTATTTTTTTCACACGAGCACGAGATCATATCCTAAACCATTAAACCATGTCTTTCCAAATCCAAACAACAAGATCTAACTTTATTAGAAGATAGTGTAGGAGCTCAAACTTGGTATATATCAAATCAATCTACGCCCCTTTGTTATTCAAATCCAATATTGGGGGAAAACACATTTCAACGATGGTATAGTGGTGAAAAAATATGAAAAGCATCTTCTCACCCTAGATTCAAACTCAAACGTGAAGAGGAGAATACCCCTGAACTTTTCTCGGGACTTTCCCGATCCTCTTCTCACCTTAGATTCAAACTCAAACGTGAAGAGAGAAATACCCCTAAACTTTTTCGGGACTTCCCCGATCCTCTAGAACATGTAATCGAACCAAACCAAATATCCGGTAAACTTCCGCATTATAAAAAAAACATTTCACTACCTTTATTATTGCTTTGAAGCAAAGAATCGACCAACACCCAATAACAATCCATAGTCATTGCCATTCGGATGTACATCGAATAAACTTCGCGCTCGTGTAATAGTGTCTAATATTCAATCAATTTGACCCTGGACTATGCGCCACACTTTTTTAGAAATATACCCAAATTTCATAAAAAAATAAAAATATTCAAATATTCAATCAATTCACGGATTTCCCCTAAACACCCAATATTACAACAAAAGTAAAAAAAAAAACATATTTCACCAAAACCAGATTGGTCTGAAAGTTATAAAAACGTTTTAAAGTGGGTGCAGAAACAGTTTTTACCTCCTCTTCCACTGCCATACAAACAAAAACCAGTCTCACTCAGAAGAGAAGAAACAATGGCAGGGAAGAACGACGAGTGCATACAAATCAACCAAGCTCTTACTTCTGTGTCAAGTTTTCTGACATGATACAAGCCGGATAACATAGTATCCGGCTGTTTTACATGCTTCGAATTTACATATAGAGTCGGACCACGCACCCTAACTCCGGAAAAAAACACCGAGGGGCGACGCTACAAGCGTGAGATCCAATGCCCTTATATCGAAAAAACCATAAGGGAGAGAGTTCATATAGTTTTATGATATGTAACATCACTACGACTACTACTACCGCTACCATAATTCTCAGTCTTATGTTAAGTCTAGATGGTTATATCATCGTATTGGTGGTACCGTCCTCCTCCGAATGAGTCTCGGAATCATCCGAAAACAAAAAGACAGAACCTTTGAGTTCGCTTACCTCAAATGGGTTCTGCTTAGTAACAGTGGGCGCCTCGGACAGACTCTGGGTTTGGTCCGCACGAGAGTTGGGAGACAGCCACTTGGCTCTGACGTACTCGGCTTTTCTCCATGGGGGGACATGTAAACCCTTTTTCTTCAGGCTCAGTTTTGCGGCTTCGGACACGATGAGGATGATCCTCTGCAGCCGATCCGCTCTGCCCACGAAGATGTAAGGGAGAATCTGCAAGATCGACTTGTAGGATTTGGTCGGGCGGGCGATCTCGAATTCTGATCGGAAATCTATGTCGATGAGAAATCTCTCTCCTTTGAATATCACATCCACGTACTCGTATTCTCCTGTTCCATGGAAGAACAACGGCCATTAGTAAAAGCTTGAAAGTCTCTCTCTTTTGCAACTTCACAAGGGGGGAAATGAAACACCAGTCCAGACAACTGCAAAATCAGTAGCTAAACCCATGTGACTAACAGATTACTGTCTTTTTCTTTCCATCTTTTCACAGTGACCAAACCAAACATACCAATAAGGAAATTTTCTCGGGCAGAATCCGGGAAACAGAGAATTTTCCAGGTTGTGGCAGGGAATTCTAGAGAACTTTCATGCATATAACTCTTATTCATGGAAGAAATCTCCCCTAAAAATGCTAGTTTCATGTCTACCTTTTCCAAGCAACCAAACATAACTAGACAAGAAAAGATTCACACAACAGAGATTCATCAGAAAGTGCCTGCAGGACAAGAAGGCGATTTCTCCCAGCGAGATTTGCATAAAGTCGCATCATATCCTAAACCCACCAAACCATCGGCCAAGAGTTTCCAGGAAGATTCGTCTTTTCGCTTCAAGTTCTTATTTTTCTCCACAATCTTCGCCGTCTCGGTCAACAAATTCCTCTCGCAGATACTCGTACAAAGAACCAAACTCTACACAGGCAAATCTCCGCATAATCAGATTCTCCTATTCCAATTTCGTCAAACCCCGGGACCGGAAAGGCAAATAACTGATGACCCATCATACCTTGAGGGTCTCACAAGCTTCGCCGGAAGAATTGAAACCGCCGCCGACAGGTTCCCATTCGTCGTCGGAGCTGTCGGTCCCGCTTCCGCTGAAGCAGCTGCAATGGTTGCGGCCGTACCTCTGTTTCTCACTGTTATTGTTGTTGTTATCCTCGATGAAGTTCTGAACCATCTTCGCCAGACAGACCGAGCTCGGCTCGAACTCGCTAGAATTTCCTCTGGAGAGTGGCTGCGCCGGCGGCGGGGGCTGCGGAGGCGGAGGCGGAGGCTCTGTCGCGGCGGAGTTCTTCAGGACACCGGTGAACTGACGGTCGAAGAGACGCTTAATCCTAGATTTCGGCATCTGCCTCATCGGCTCCGGTAAAGTTAGCTCCTCCGATATATCAGAGGCGATCGGTTGAACTTTCACGGGCAAAGGCATTATTATCGCTAAAAAAAAAAGAGGGATTCTTCTCCAATTTCAACAAAATTTTCAGAGTATTGAAACAGGACAGATCCTCGGCGACATTTTTCCTCGCTTCCAGACCAAACAAAAAAGATGGACAAGAACAGAAAACTGAGACAAAAACAATTGCCCAAAGATCAAAAGAGAAAAGAAAAGACAAAATGACCGAGAAAATACCAAACCCTATCTCCGATTATTTAAAGAACTATGGTTCAAATTGCCGAAGAAAGCAGGGAATAACTTCGAAACAGGGCAAAGTTATGAAAAAAAAATAAAAAAATAAAACGAGAGAGAGAAAAGGGATTGCTTTAATCTAGGGTTTGTAGATACGGATTAAAGTCCCCGAGATACGTAATGACACGAGAACGTCATGGCCACTCTTTGATTACGGCAAATGATTTAAGCAACAGATATCGGAAATAAATCCCGTCGCCGGATTCTTCATCTTCCACGGCGATCTGGATCGATCTTTCCGGCGAACGGGCCACTGGGAAATATGGCGATCGGAGAGGAATCAACGACAAAAGTATCAGAAACAGAGGGGACTGAAATTTTTTACCGGCGGAGAGGATAAAAGCTGAGCAGCGGAGGGTTTTCGGCAAGGCTTTTCGGTGGATTTTATATAACGACGATGGGAGAGATGTACACGTGGTGTCCTACGTGGCAATACCGCTAACATGTCGGAATCTGGGGGTACGCCTCAGTGTCTCGGGGGCCTGTCTGCCGGGTCGTCTGTGACACCACGTGGCACATCATCGCTCTCTCGTTGTTGACGTGGCTAATCGTGCTAAGTCGTACGGACCACTTTAGCGAAATAAATTGACGGAAATGCCCTTCCATACCTTAAGCATGTGTTTATCCCCTAATCCTTGAGGATTTAAGATTACGTGATGACAATTTTAATTTTGGTAACGACAAAATGTCGTCATGCTCGAAGACTTCTGTAAGAAAGTTCTTTCTTTTCCCGGAAGGAGAAGTAAATCCCTTATAGAATTTACGATTTGTTACAATGTATTTGAATTTTATATTTAGAATATCCTTGCAATGCATAACATTACTCTTATTACCGATGTTTCGGAAATCATTCCAAAAAAAAAACTTTTATGGATAAGATAATAAATATTATTTTATCATTTAGGATATGTGATATTTTAGTTCGATTTCCGGTAGATTATTTTCTGTTTTTTGCTCCTATTTCAATTTCCGTGAGGATTTTTGTTTAAATTTGCTTTTTGTAATTTCTATATTAACATGATATTTATGTTCTTAAAAAAAAATCATTTTAATTCTTGTTTTGTGGCTACTGCTATATTCATTGAGAATTATATTTGAACTCGAATTGTAATGTATCAGAGAAATTTTGTAAAAAAATATTGTATCTAAACCATTTCTGTATTAAATTGGATTTAGAAGCATTTTTTGGTTTGATTCAATTTAATTTTACATATTGAGAGAGTAATGTTAAGTTTTCTCTAAATACACTCCTGGGTCGTTTGATAATTAGTTTAATTATCCTTTTTCTATTTCTCCCAATTTTGCTATACTTTATTTTAAACCCACTTCTCTAACTCTAAATTACAAAATCTAAACTCTAAATACCGCCGTCAAACAATAATACTAAGACATCAAACGGTGTATCAAATTTTTATTTCTTAAAATATATTATGATAGTTTATAAAATATGTCACGTGGTCAAATTATTATTTAAAATTAAAAAAAGCAGGTTTTAAAATAGAATTTGTAACATGATATTATTTTTGAAGTAAAAATATTTTGTAAGATGATAGAAATATTTGATATATATATATATATATATATATTTGTTTTGTAGTTTTGGTTAGAGGAGAGTGTATTTTACTCATCAATTTCCAAATTCATTTACTTGTGTGTTTACTTCGTTCCTCAGATACTCTCTCCCAACTTCAGTTCCCAAAATCTTTCTGCAAAACCCTAACTTCCCGGATTCCTCCGTCATAACCGCCATTGCTGCGAAGCTTCACAATTCAGCGGGAACTCTTCGATGGACGCTCACTCTTCTCACCTCAACGCCGGAAACCGGTCTCGCCGCTCCCAGACTCCCTCCCCGTCTCACTCCGCCTCGGTCTCGGCCTCCGCCACTTCTTCCCTCCACAAACGCAAGCTCGCCGCGGCAAACGCGGCGGCGTCTGATGATCACGCGCCGCCCTCCTCCGCGACTTTCCTTCCCTCTTCCCTCTCAGCTGACACCCGCGACGCCGCCTTGACCTCCAACGACGACCTCGAGAGCATCTCTGCTCGCGGTAACGACTCCGACTCCGAGTCAGATCCCGAGGAATCCGAGGATGCGGTTGTCGACGAAGAAGAGGACGACTTCGCTCCCGAACAAGATAATGACTCGTCGATCCGCACGTTCACGGCGTCTCGGCTCGAGTCCAGTTCTGGAGCCAGTGGTTCGGCTCGCAATACTAAACTTAAGACGGAGAATTCTGCGATGAAGCTTGAGAGCTCTGATGGCGGCAGAGATGGTGGAGCCTCTGCGGTTGGATCTGGAGCAATTGGAACCTTTGGCGGGAGCTCGATTTCTGGGTCGGTGGCGAAGGATGAATCTGTGAAGATATTAACAGAAAATTTTCAGACTTGCGGGGCTTATATTGCGAGAGAAAAGAGTTTGAAGAGAGAGGTAATAAATCTTGATCACTTATTGTATATACATTTCTGTGTACATGTGAACTTACTGATGCGTTTGTGGGCATTTCTCTATTGAGTCGCCATGATAAAATTTCTCCGTCTTGGTGATAAAGTCGATTCTGATCATTCTTCATTTTATGTGTTTTGGTATACTTTTGGACTCTAGGAGGAAGCAGGACGACTCAAGTTTGTCTGTTACTCAAATGATGGCGTCGATGAACATATGGTTTGGTAAGTCTCTCCCTTGGTTTCCGTGTGTTGGCATTTCAGTTGAATACTAACTTTGACCTTGGCCTTTATTCGTTTTATTCTCTTAATAAAGGGTTTGTCTGAGTAATGACTGAACACTGAATTTCTTCCAGTTTGGTGGGGCTGAAGAACATATTCGCAAGACAGTTGCCTAATATGCCCAAGGAGTACATTGTTCGTCTTCTGATGGATAGGTATTTCTTCAGGAACGTTGAATGGCTTATCTTTTTGGATTTGAATGAACTAAATTGTGCTGTTTGTGTGTTTTTTTGTTGGTTTTCTCTAAATACATTCTTGATGTAATTTCATGGTTATGAGCTGAGTGAGCTTCCATGTCTTCCTCCAGCTTTTTCTTGGTGTAACTTTTAAGCCTTCTGATATCCGCAATTTCTGTTGTATATCCAGGAAACACAAATCTGTTATGGTCCTCCAACGAAACCTAGTTGTAGGTGGTATCACATATCGCCCTTATCACAGGTAGATCCCTGTTAATTTTGGCTTCTTTTTCCTTTTTTCTTTTTGTCTATCATATAAATGTGAGATCATTAGAACTGGCTGATTTTTTTCTTCTAAACTACTGGAAAATAAAAAAATATGTACGGGCCTTCTTTTTGCTCTGCCACTTGTGACTAAGATTTGTATCACAACATCAAGGACTTTTTTTTATTTATAATAGAATAGTTTCGAGATGTATATGATGTTATAATGGATGTGATAACAGTCTTCATATGCTTGTTAATTGCACTTTCTCTTGGAGTTGCAGCCAAAAATTTGGAGAAGTAGCTTTTTGTGCAATCACTGCAGATGAACAAGTAAAAGGTTATGGAACGAGGTTGATGAATCACTTGAAACAGCATGCAAGGGATGTTGATGGACTAACTCATTTTCTTACGTATGCTGACAACAATGCTGTTGGTTATTTTATCAAACAGGTCAGAGTATACACATTTGTTGCAATTCTGGCTCTTTCTTTCTTCTGAAAATAAACTCCAACAAACTGGTGGTAGATGTCTTGACAGAAGATATGGAACTGACTGAACAGTCTATTAGCATTGTGGTGTGCAATGGATAATCACATACTTGAGGCATAAAGCCTAATCTATGAGAAAGAGAACATATGTTACTTGTCCCTATCTTCCCTTGGTGAAGAATAATGGTATAGTTAATAACTTCGCAGTTTTCAATTGAGCCTAGGTTTTGAGCAGCGCTGTGGCTCCTACTTTGCAGTCGATTCTTTGAAAATATGCTAGAACTTTCAAAGAAGCTTTGCATGACTTATCAGTTTTCTAGTCTAAGTTGATTCTTTCATGGAACGAAATACAGATCCTTTTGTCTTGGATTGTTTCCGAATTTGTTAATCTAGAATCACGTTTTTCATTTCTGTTTTGCATGCAAAGGATAGCTTTAATCTCTCCCATAATGAAAAAGATCTAGTTTCCAGCTTTTTTGTCAAGCCTATTTTTCTAGAGGAGTAAAGTCTAGTGATATGGGTTTCTTTATTGCAATCATCCACTCAGAGTATACTAAGGCTGCTCTTTATACTTTACATGTGCAGGGGTTTACCAAGGAGATTTACTTAGGCAAAGAGATTTGGCATGGGTATGGAAAACATGCTGTTAAAACTTTATAACTCATTGTTATGGTCTTTTCTGCATGTTGTCAGCTAACTGACATTATCAGCTGATGCAAACATGACCTAGATGGCTAAAATTTTAACTACTGTGAAGTTATTTAGCTCATGAGGTCAGCTTAATAGAAAGATTTTTGTTGTCTACTTGAATATTCTTGTGTAAATTAGTTTGTCAAAGCTACTGTATGATGGCCTTGAAAACTTCCACAATTTGGCTTGTCAATGTTGTCATTCTCCCAAACATCTGTTCTTTCCTCAAGGAGAAGGAAATTCTCCTTTCTTTTGCTTGTTCTTTTACCCTTCCTTTACAGAGGGTCTTTATTTGGTGCCAGTTTTAAGTTTATAAAACTCAGTGCTTTTCTAGGTATATTAAAGACTATGATGGTGGCGTTCTAATGGAATGCAAAATCGATCCAAAGCTTCCATATACAGATTTATCAAGTATGATTCGTCAGCAAAGACAGGTAAGTTTCTAAAAGCTCTTTTATTTTTCGAAAGGTTTTCTCCATCCACTAATCTCAGTTTTTAGTAAATGATTGATTGTACATCATATCTAGCTCTTTTTACTTTCCATTCAAGTTTTTCTATGTCAAGTTTGTATATTATTCTTAACCCCCCCTCCCCCTCCTCTTGTTACTTTAATAATGGAAGGCAATTGATGAAAGGATAAGAGAGTTGTCGAACTGCCAAATTGTCTATCCAGGAATTGATTTTCAAAAGGTAGCAGCATCATATTTTCTGTAATTTTTTATGCATTTCATGGTGATGTCTTGATATGGAACAACCTGTGATTTCTCTAAGTTCCTTGAACTTGATCTGACAATTGCTGCAGAAAGAAGCAGGGATTCCTGGAAAGATCATCAAAGTTGAGGATATACCTGGTTTGAGTAAGTCTTTCTTTATCCTACCTAATAGCACTGGTTGCAGTTTCTTAGTAAAAAAGAGAATCTATATCTGTTATCCCTGTTCACTGGTCACATCTCATGTTAGTTACTGCAAGTGGACCCATGTATTTAATTTGATATATATATCCTGTTAGCATGTGGACGGTGGATAAGGAATCTCTATAAGCGATATTCTGCAATTGTCTAAAATATCTTGCTTTTTTATTTGCTCTCTTTTGGCCCCCTTTCTCCTCTCTATTCCTTTCGCCCTCCCAATCCCGAACAACTCCTTATGTCAAGGCCAGCCTAACAGACAGCCATTTGGTCTTTCATTTCATTGCTTCCAGTCTACAAGCAGATGGAAATTATATATATCTGACACTAGAGCAACAAGTTTTAAATGAGTCGTCAATCCAACTTGACATGTGAGACAGCGGTTTCACAAGTATTGAATTTTATGGTTATGCACTATCCTCTGTCATTCTTAATGTGGTTAAAGCAGTTTCCTTTGTGGTGTTAAAACAGTAAGGTTTAGTCCATAGGATTCTTCTTCAGGTTATGTGTGTTCATAGGTTTGGAGGTCCTAATACAGGAATTTTGGACTGATGACAGGGGAAGCAGGTTGGATTCCAGATCAGTATGGGCATACTCGGTTCAAAATATTTAATACTTCTGACGGCACGACAAACCAAAAGCAGTTGACTGCATTTATGCGTTCGCTGTTAAAGGTTTCTGCTATATGCCCTTTGCTTTTATGTTTTATCTGTATATCCTACTAGCTATTAGTTCCAGGATCAGAAACCTTTCAAGATTGAGGCAGCTTACATTTATTTTCTTAGTATCTTCTGATAGCTCTTAGTCCTGTCTGCCTCACTTGATTCTTTTATGTAAACCATCGGCTCTCCTCTCTTTGCTGTTTGGTTTTTCTTGTTGAAGCAGTCCTTACATGACCATGTTGATGCTTGGCCATTCAAAGAGCCAGTTGATGCTCGTGATGTCCCTGATTACTATGACATCATTAATGATCCTGTTGGTAAGATAATAACAAATTTTGAGATGTATTTTGGCGTTCTACTTTTGAAAAGTCACCACTCAGATAAAACAAAAAAGGCTTGGTTTGATGCCATTCCGTATGTTTTATCATCATTGTATATTTGCCTTTTCTGTGGTCAGGGAATAATAAAGGGATCAATCTAATATTTTAGGTGGTGCGTGCTGTTTAGTATAACCTATTTGAATAATGATATTAAAACCATACAGAAACAGTAGACCATTATAATTGATTCTTAGATACTTTGCATCTAGGATGATTATATTCTTTCATGCTGGATATTGCATATATACAGAGGCGTCAATGTACTAGTGAGGAAAATGTTCATTAGATCGTTCTCCTAATAGTATTCTGCTGCTGCTGCTGCTACTTATATGCGCTGAATTTCTTTGTATGATTGGAACAGATTTATTTTTAACTAGACACGTTATGTTTAAAACCAAATTATGTGAATTATTATTGCCCTTTCTACTGTTTTCACTTAACCAAGTTTTTCTACTGATGGATATTATCGGTTGTAACACAGATATGAAAACCATGTCAAAGAGGATTGAGTCGGAGCAGTATTATGTAACATTCGATATGTTTGTTGCTGATGTGAGACGAATGTTTAACAATGCTAGAACTTACAACTCCCCGGATACCATATATTACAAATGTGCTACCAGGCAAGACTTGCTCATGTTCATCTATTCATACTCGTCTCTTTTCATCTTTCTCATCCTCATCTGACGTTTATGAATTTTTCTCAGATTGGAAGCCCACTTCCAGAGTAAAGTACAAGCGGGTCTCCAGTCTGGCGCTAAAGCCCAGTAGGTGATACATTCTCTTCCAGCTTTATCGAGGTTAATAATATTTTCTTAGGCCATGCCTACAGTTCATACAGATTACATTCTGCTTCTTTCTTCAACATGTTTATATGTTAAGTTTCATGCTTTGATACCTCTGTATGTTCTGCTTATTTATGTGGATCTCCAGCTATAAGAAGCCTCTGTCCCTTCCTAAACATGTTTTAGATCTTAACTCTAAATCAGAAATAGGGGTCTTCGTATCTATTTACATTAGCGGTTGAGTGTTTTGAGTGGTTAGTTTTGTGGCATGGATTAGTGGTGAATGGTTCATGGTAGTTTTGTAATTAGTGCATAGTTATTCCTTTGGTTTGCTAGCCTATAAAAAAGGCTTCTTCTTTATGTAAGTTTTGATGAATTCAAAGAAGTATTTTGTCCATCCACTATTTATCTTACCTTTTTCATTTTTCTTCTCTTCAAAATTCTAACATTATATGCTTTGATCATGTTTAAATGTTCAATTCTTTGTATTTACTTTAAAAACTTACGAAAAAAAAATCAGAGGTTTCTTCTTGTTACGGGTTTAGAGTTGTGAATTGATCAATTAAAGCAGCTTTCAAACCCTTGTCATCACAGTACCAGTCCAACACAACAGTAGGAGGTTTGTCATTTTTCTTTGCCTGCTTTTAACAGTTTGGATCCTACTGTTCTATATGTCGAATTTAGGATCTAAAGTATTTGATATAAATGTTTGGTATACATTTGCATGTATATTCACTTGAATGTATTGAAACAGTGGAACTGGAAACTTCTGTCCAACTTGGAGGGGTTCTCATATGTCTACTAAAACTGAATGTATGCTGCAGGTTTAAGTTGGGGCAAGACCACGGATGACAAAATACCACGAGACTTTAATAAGGCGTCACATTTGGAGAGAATGCCACTGTAGAGAATCTCCGAAACCACCGAGCTTTATAGTACATGTGATCTGGCCTTTGGTCATTTCGCCGGGTTGAAGTGTACAAATAAGTGAGCACTGATAATATCAAACCTTGGAGTGAAACATAGGTAACAAGAACCCATTATTTGTCGCAAGGCCTGGTGGAGGAAACCTTGGAAGGAGACAATTGGATTCAGAGAAGAATCTTTGTAAAAGGAAGTAGCTAATAGTTTGGGGTTCGTTTGGGCAAAAAAAAAACCCAATCTTTCCAATACTCATTTGTTTGGGCAAAAAACAGGTTTTGATTTTGCTGCAACTCTTTCTGATTAGATGAATGATACATAGGATCTATTATTTTTTAAGAGATTACAAGAGCAAAAGTTGCTTGAATTTGTAGCAAAAGGACATGGGAACAATGATAAAGAAACTTCTCTGTCTCAGGTTGTTGGTTGGTTTTGTGGCAAAGGGTCATCTAAAAGAAGTGCAAGCCGATAAAGAAACACTTGGAAGATCAGGAAAGGAAAGGAGAGGAGCTCGGATGAAGCAGCTGTTGTGACCAGTTCTCATATAAGGAAATGATGTATGAAGATAAGTCGTGGCAGTCGGAATCGTTTGTTGAATACTCCAAGGCGCTCGCGTTAGCTGGACTGGTTTCCGGACCAAGAGCTCCTGTCATTGCATATTTGAACTCGAGAACTCAGATGGCAGAACTTCCAAACAACAACCAAGTAGCTTGAGAACCGAATGAATACCGTACCAAGCATACTTTGTTGCACCACCATGCATACACTCTCTGTTCAGTGAATGTTTCTTCATTTGGGTTCTGTTTTTTATTGGATAATTACGATTGCAACGTTCATTTTGACTTGAAAAATCAAAATGTATACACAGTCTTTGGCCAGCTTCAACGTTTGACCCAAAAAAATGTGTTGTCAAGTTACGGATACAACGAACCCCCAACACCAACTCCATCGAAGATCGATTTCGTTATTACATCCTAAAACCAAAAGCTCCTACCACCAGAATGCTTCTCCAATCTTACCTTCATATCCCACAGATACATCCTCATTTTTGGGCTTTGTTCTTCGTCACATCGTGATTCCATTGGGGCGGGGTCGGGACAAGATTTGGTGAGGATGCTTGCTGCGGGAGGGGGATGTTGGTCATGTTTTCTGCACTGGCATTAGTCACTGAGTTCATATTCGGAGGAACCAGAGTGTTGTTCCCAAAGCAGTTGTCGAGTCTTCCATTTGGTGCAGTTCCGATGATGTTAGGCATTGCTGACTTCAGAATGTGGTTAGAGTTTGGCAGTGCAGGCGTTAGACCAATCCTAGAGGAATCCATCAGTGTATTGTCAAATGGCAGCCCCATGTTAGTTGAGTTTGGTCTTGCAAAAAGCAGATGGTTCATTCCAGTCACCCGTTTAACCGTCTCTTCTGCCATTTTCACCTAAAAGAGTTTTATCAAGAAAAAGAATCTACTTAGCAACTGAATTTCTCCTCAAAAAATAAAACGGATCATATAAGATCAGAAGCCAACAGGAGCCTTTATGAAAGTAAAACAGGCACATTTATGCGAAACAAAGGGAAAGCTTTCACATATGATACGTTGAACATTTTCATTCAGATTCTCCAGAGATCATGTGAGACATTCTGATGAACATAGAAGATTAAACTTTTAACCCAGGCAAGTACCTTTCGTTCCACGATAATGAGCTATAAAACAGCACATATTTTATACCTTTGTTCTCATTGTCTCAATATCAGCTTTCAAAATTCTGTTATCGACAGCAGCTGTATCGTGCTTATGATTCATGTCACTTAGACGCTTGAGTAATGTTGAATTCTCAACCCTTAATTGGCCAACCTACAAAAAGATAGACCTTCCTGTAAATTCCTGGACCGCAAAATAGATAGACAACTACTGGAAGAGCATCTTCCGAAGAGGGCATATAGATTGAGGATCAAATGCAATTCAGTAAGACAGGACCTGTGTTTCAAGTTCATTCTTTTGTTCTTGTTTTCTTCTCCTAGAGCGCCGAGCAGATTCCCGATTTGAGAGCATCCTAAAGAAATAAAACAACGGATGCACCAGCTACTGAGTCAGAGAAAACCACAAAAGTACATAGAAAATAGTGTGCACCACTCTCCTTAACACTATTCCCCTAGCAGATGTAAGGATTACCTAAAACTAACTGAAACCCACCATTTGGTTGTTACTTTCACTGTGAAGAGACAAGAAGGTCCAAGACGCAAACCTTTCCCTGAAAGATTTTCAGAGAGTTGGTGCTCTTTTTCCTTTGACAGCAAGATTATCATATTTGATAGAAAAACCTTCTAGCATTGTCAAACAATATATCTATCTCCACAGAAAATTAAAAGGAATTTTAAGGCGACATCAACGCTAGAGTTTTTACTTTTGAAAGCTTCTGGTTCTGTTGACGATCTATCAAAAGAATGAACTCCTGTAAGAGAACAAAATATGTACCTCCTAGCACGCTTTGTGTCAGCAGGATCCCCGTTCTCTGTGGTTTCCATGTCTCCTTCAAGTTCATCATCATCTGAATCATCTCTTGAAGATCCACTTGTAGCTTGCCCGACTGGCACGTCTGATTTCTTTTGCATGCCTGGTGAGGGAGAGGCACTCACAGATGAGGTACCAGGTGAGATTTGGGCAGCAGCGGAGCCTATAATGGTTAATAGAACACAATACTCATTACAACAAGGGCATTAATACATAGGAAACACAATTCAGGAATAATTTCAGAAATTGAAAGTTGGTAAAGAAATGCAGCAGAACAGAGATAGAACTAAAAACCTCTGCAGCCGATTCCAATGTCATATAACCTTGTATGTTATTCCTCGCCTCTGAGGGCATAATTCAGAGAATTCATCACACTTAACATATAAGAACATGAAAAACAAGTGCTGGAAACTAAATTAGACATTGACACAATAAAATCAATTATTCACAACCGTCAAATTGAACACACATCTTGAATGCTTGCAGCCATTAACCAAAGAAATCACTACTTCCAACTCAACAAACAGAGAAAACCGATGATTGCCACTTTCATTATAGCCCAAAATCAAGAGTCTTTTCCCTACCAGTTTAATATCTTAAAGCCTAAATCAATCAACTATCATCTAAGCAAACATTGTTAAGAAAATGGAAAACAAACCTTGAGCTTCAGATCCGACCAATATAGGTTGCTTTTGCTTGGTCGCTGTGGTACTCGAATCTTCCGGCTTCACCATAGCGACCTGCGGAAAAATCTATCCCGATCATCACACAAACAGCACATAAACCGGCCTCCAGGGAACATGACAAAGGCGAGAGAGAGAGAGAGAGAGCGCCCAGAGACGTACACGAAGAGCAACAGCAGCGCAAGCGAGATCTAGCTTGCTCTTGAGAATCGCGTGGTACTGATCAGGATCAACCCCAATCGTCGACGATGACACATGATTCCGACTTCCTTGTTCATCCCATCGATGGCGATGGTTCTCGAGCTTCTGTGTCTCAAAGATATCGGCCGCGATATCAGAACCAGCTCCCGACGGCATCGAAACCGATTGCTCAGGTTGAATCTGCGGCACTGATCGGTCGATCGCGTTCTCCGCCGCCGAAGACAACCCCGCGATCGAGCTCCCGCCGGAAGCAGACATCTCTTCGATCAGCCTCTGAAACGCCCACTCCGATTGGCTCCGACTAATCCCCTCCGCCATCGCCGCCGGAGCGGCCGTCTCCCAGAAAGAATCGGTCAAATCATCAACGGAGAACAAGCTGTTCATTGCTTGCTTCTCTTTACCCTTCTCTCTCCGTCGCTCTGTGCGTTTGCGTTTGGCTAGCGATCTCGTCCAGGGTTGAAAAGCATAGCACCAACTTCATTTCGACACGTGGCGGGATTACAGTGGACAACGGATAGGTACCACAGTGATCCGTCAAGCAGGGGATTAAAGATGGCTGTACGGCTTGGGATGGTGGGGTCCAAAAGGACTGAACTGTCGCATCCGCCGCTCTAGATCGGTTCAGTGAGTTAAACGCCAATTATAATTAAGGTCAAGAATCAAACCGAATCAAACAAAAAAAAATCAATACCATTTCCAAACCGAATCATCAAGAAAACTTAAACCGTAAAAAATCTAAAGAAATTGAAATCAAACCGAACCAAACCAAAGATTAAAATGCCAAAAAAACTCCACAAATTCTTAAAAAAATAAACATTTTTCCAAACCAATATTGAAACCGGACAGAACGTGTTATAACAACTGAATGGTATATATATTTCTATAACCGAATGATCCGAACCAATAAGTGCCAAACCGAATCCGGAAACACCCATCTTCTAGTGCAAACACACAGACAGGCACGCATATACATGATTGAAAACAACAAAAATTCAATAGGGCAAAGGCCGTTCTACAATGTTGCTTTCGATACATGATGTTTATCATAAACTTATTCAAGAGCAGCGGAACAGAAATACAAAGTTAACGGGATCCGATTTCATATCAGATTTACAGTATATATAACATGAATAAGAATGTGTCATCATCACCATCATCAGTCGACTATTACATTACATGGAGGTTTCTCCAACCTCCTGCGCTTCCCTCTATCACCCTCCTCTGCCTGCACAGACAAGAGCCTCAATCTCCGCTTCCATGTTTCGATTTTCTGAACTTATGTTATATTATAAGGCTTGTGATTTTGTAATCAGACCAAGTAACTAGATTTTAAGAATGTTCTTTTTTTTACCTGTTGGGATAACAATTGTGGAGCCTGAACCCTCTTGGATCCATCAGCTAACCGTTTGTGCGAAAGACGGTTCTCAGCCACTGCTGAACTTTCCATAACCTGGCAAATTCAAAACCCAGAGATCACAAACAATAACACTTAATTGGGATTGTTGTAAGATTATCAGAGCAAGAGATGAAGTTCCTATAAAGGCTGAAACTTTCTTGGGTAGCATATTTCTAAATGACCTATTGTAAAAAGGGTTACCTGATTCTGTATGGCCCTAATCAGTATGTCTTCACATCCAGATGCATGCACGGATTCTAACTTGGGGCATTGGAGCGTTAATGACTCCGGATTCAGGTTGTTGCACAAGTTCAAATTTAAGTCCTCGAGTTCGGGGCAGTTCAGAAACAAAACCTGCATCAATCATTAACCAATGAATAGAGGTTCCAGATAACCAAGTTAAGACGTTTTCAGAGAAAATTTTCTGCAGGTTACTCACATCCAAGCTAGAGCAACCCCATAAGCTGAGCTTCTTCAGCTGATTATGTTTGATATACATCTTCTGATAAACAAGGTATTGTTGCTTGTTGCTGAATCGTTTCCCCGGACTAGGGCTGTTCTCTGCTGAGCTCGGACTTTCTGAACTGGAATCAGATATAGTCATACCACAGTCCATCAACTTCAGAAGGGGCAGCTGAGCAGTAGCAAATTGAATGCCACCTGAATCATCGAAGATGATCAAGATTAGAATCAAGAATTTCCAGCATTTTATGTATCAGACGAACCGAAATTATATGCGTGCAAATGAATGAGATCAAGAACGTACTTGAAGTTATGTTGGGACAAAGAGCAAGGAGTAATTTTGAGAGTGTATCAGGGAACACATTGCAGATCATTCCAATGCCACTGTCAGTGATGCTGGAACTGAAATCAAATACATTTTAATAAATATGTTTCATCGAATAAGCACAACACTTGAACAATTTAAATATACATAGGATATCGGGGCCAGTGTTGGACATACCCACTCAGGTCAAGCAATTCTAGGTTTGTGTAAGTTGAGGAAATGGCGGCCACAGATGCATCATTGATTTCTACCCCAAGAACTAAGGAAAGCATTCTCAATTCTCTGTAATGGATGAAAACAAAATATGGTATCAGACATTTTGAGAGCTACAATTGGCTTATATAATCAAGATATTTGACAAACAAGTTGACAAACAAGTTGACAAACAGCAATATCAGAGACTTAACATAAGTTGAAACCAAGATAAAGAAACAGATGAACTAGACAAACCTTAAATTAGCATCTGTAAGAGCTAGGACAACAGCATGGGAAAGCTTCAGCGATGCAATGTGAATGTTTCGCAATCGAGAACAAGTCCTTCCCAAACCATCAGCTATTGTTACAAGATCAGTTGTGCTATCTTCTTGGCGAGAAAATTCAAGCGATATCTCCCTAAGATTCGGACAGTTAAACACCTGGCAACCAAAAGATTTGGCAGAGTTAGATAAATCAACTAATGCTCAACTTGCAAGTATAGGAGAGGAAGTAAAGTAAGTGTCAAATACCATCCTCGAGAGAGAATGAAGGTCTGAGAGCCAAAGAGCAGTGAGGCTTGATGAACAAAGGACAAACCCCCCTAAATTGGAACATCCTTCCATCTTTAGGCTTGTGAAACAACGTTTATCAGCGACAAAACGACCTAGCTCTTCCCTACAGATAATATCGACCAAATACAATTAACGATATGTACACAGCAGGCAATCCACAAGTATGCAAGATCTAGTAATCTTATAGATTGTAAAAACCGATTAAGCTGAGCAAAACCTTACAATAAAGTTACTTTAAGATGGATCAGATGCAGACAAGACAACTTAGTGCTAAGGATGCACTTGTTGCAAACAGACTTTAACCCATTAACAATCAGACTCTTTACAGTCGTACTGCTAAAGATGCACTTGTCCTGTTGCACATAAAACCTATATTCGAGCTGAATGTTGTTTATGAGCAAATTCCGTGGTAGGGTTTATTTTCTCATGGCATCAAAAAGTCACAAGATTGTTTACCCAGTAATCCTATTGGCAGCTGACCCCGACATTGAAATCTCCAAAGTCTCGAGGTTAGGACAGGAAAAAGCAATGCAAGCCAATGTGGTTGCATCAAGATCACTGCAGAGCAACACCCAGAACCAAATCCATCAGAAACCAAAGCATTGTAATAAATAGATAGACCCAGAAACGGATCGTGATTAAGCAATCTGATAGGTTATCATAATTGAGGACTATGAAGAATTCCATTATCACTCGTCTAGGTATATTAAGCTCCAGTTTCACTATGTTTGGATCTGACTGATTGAGCTCTTTTGTGTTAAAATTGGATGAAATTAACGAAGTCAAGTTGGTTAACCATCAGATGTAACAGATCCCATGAAGAAGAAGCATCACCTTTCCATTGTCAGAGAAAGCTTAACAAGTCCGGGGCATTTTTGTAATAATGACCCAATGAATCCGACCTGAGCTCTCACTGGAACCCTAATCCGGAGCTCTTCCGCCGCCTTCCACATCCTCCTCGTGGTCTCCCTCCAACCCTTGCAAACCCTCGCCGCCATCATCAACCCCGACGGCGGCAACCGCCTGAGCACCTCCCACAAACACATGGCTGGCACGCCCGGTTGAACTGTATCAGTATCCAAATGCAGATCTAGATCCGGATCCATCGCCGCGGCGAGATCGGACTCGTCCGGCGAGTCACACGCTTCAACGTCGTCGAAAGACAGCGCGCGGCGGAGGTGCGAGTACCCCTGGCGCGGCGGCGGCGGCGGCAACGAGCGGATGGTGGAGCGCGAGGAAGATGCGGCGGCGATGCAGCTCAACGGATCCCTCGCGATCGGTGTGGTGGGTGCATCGGGAGCGACTTGGCAGACATGGCCCTTCTTCGGTAGGCCACAGCGTCCGCAGTTGTAGCTCCCGCGATTCTTCTTCGCGTTGCGGCGGAGGGAGAAATGTGCGGCAACGGCTGCCTGAGCTGAGGCTGCATCGCCGCGAGAGAGAGTAATAGAGGTGAAAGAGGGAGATGGAGCAGTGAGGGAGAGATGAAAATAAAGAGAAGAGAAGAGGAGGGAAGGTGCGGCGGGAGAGGAGATGGGTTTTCGCGCGCTTAATTTCGAAAAAGAAAAAAGAAAAAAGAAATATTGGCTGTAAATTACGGATTTACTCTTGATTTTGTCCGAATAACGTGACGTATGTCACGTGATGTCCTTTTCTAGACGTTGAATCCACTGTCCTGCGCTGCGCCAACAAATTTTGATTTTTGGGTAAATAATAATAATAATTTTGACCAATGTATTCGTTAGGAAAAATATCCAAATAAAATTAGGTTATAATCTGATTAGGTTACCAAAATAAATATTATTCATTTCTGACATATATTTTATAATATAAAAAAACTCCGATAAAAACACCATATATTCTGATATTATGTATTTTTTTAATGTGATAAATGATATGTATTTTCTTAAATTCCCCGAAGATAACTTAATTAGTTTTATAATGTTTTGATTGGAAATTCCGATAACAAAACATTGAATACTAAGACTAAGACCAGTACCGGTCGGCATCCAAGCGTGATGGAAATTAGGGTAGTCATTTTGTGTTTCGTTCAGATTTTGGTTATGAAAAAATATAACTTATCAAAATCATTTTGATTTGATTCGATTTTATTTCGGATTTATCGATAAAAATTCGGTTATTCCCGGACAATTGTTGAATAGGCTCTTCTGCTTGAGTTCTGTTCCAATCTTGTAGGAACTTGCACTGTACCTTATCTCATGTTGAGTTCTGTTTCATGCGTATAAATATGTGGCGCCTGAGAATCTATATAGAAACCATACTATATATCGAATTTACATAGTGACCGAATTCCAGTATTTCTCGGATGAGTTTTCGACCTATACAGATGAATTGCAAAGTACAGGAACACAGTTTCCGTAAAACATACACTAACGAACTAACATCATCGAAGCAATGAGGGAACTACAAGCGAACAGAGCACATGGCCGAGGTCCTGAAATCGAGTTTGCCAATGAAAGGTGGCCTCGACACGAGGGATCTCCAAATCTTCTTCCTCGGATGGTAGATCTGACTCATCATCGACTTGCCCTTTTCTTGCGGTCTGGTCTTAAATCCATCCAGAAGAGACATAACGTGTAATTCGCCGTTCAGTGCAATGAAACCGAATGATCTGTCGTAAGGAGCTTTCCGTGGCAGAGTTGATTCCTTTCGCCAGCGATTTGAATCCATTTCGTACCTGCAAGCAAACACGGAGGATGAGACCCGAACTCAAAATGCCGACACCAAGATAAAGTGTTGAAAGTATCTGAATTCCGATGTATAATGAAAAAGACCCGAAGTTAATGACAGTTCTTATGCCCTTTCATTATTCAGACAAAACCCACAAACATCCTCGTGGACCCCTAGCAATCTTGAAGAGAAACATATAAAAAAAATCTTGAAACATTCGCAAAGGAACCGATATGAACTAATTGTCTTATAAAACAAATATACTACTGCTCCCTGTTTTGATGATTCTTTGGAAAGGTACCTATCAGACCAAACCCCCCGTCTGCAAGTTTCCTACTGTATTTGACAAGGATTTAGGGTTTAAAATCTAAGTTTAAAGTCCGATTTTGTAAAGACAAAACATATAAAAACCCTCAAATCAAAGGGTAAACCGAGATATGTCGGGGGGGGGGGGGGGG